CCCCCCCCCAGCCCTCATAAAAAGAGGGAGTGCTGTATGAATAGGAATTACAGCAGCAACACTATCTGCCCAGCTCTGCCAGCTGTTGCATTCAGCCCAGCTTCCTGTCCCTGTGCCAGGAGCTGGACCTCTGGGGCAGCAGCTGGGAGAGCAGGGAGATGGGGAGACACCCTGGGACACCCTAGGCTTCACTCAGGCATCCAGCTGAGCCCACAGGTTCTCTCTGATCACCCCCCCCCATGCACCCTCCCTGCCCCAGGTCCCTGCAGCACCCAAGGGCTCAGCAGTGCTGCCTTCCCCACACAAGAGTGGCTTTGAAAAGACATATTTTTAAAACAGCATGTTTCTGTTTAATGGCTGGTCTCCCATAAAAATCACCTATGCAAATCATCCTGCCTGTCCATCAGTCCCTTTTCTCATGCTTTTTGAACTTGCTGGCTGATTTCAGTGGTGTCTGACAGAAGAAGGTGCCAAACTCATCCCTGTTGTAGAGCTGTTGGAGAGAGGTGGACTGGTATCCTTGGCACAGGTGGGAGCTGAACCTCATTAGACATCAGAGAGCCCACAGGGACAAGAGGTTGCTCCCAAGGGCAGGAAGGGCCCAGATCAGAAAAAAAAAAGCAAGCATATTTTTAGACATCAAATAACTCTTCTCTGATATGCAGATCCACGGGAAACCAGCTTTCAAAAGACCTTCTGCTCATCATACTGCTTAGGTATTTTAAAAAGATGCCACTTCGTGTGGACACATTTTTTCTTGATGTCCCATTTCCAACCTTTTCCCTTCAATCATAAGAGCCCAGGAAAAACCCAGCACCAGGCCAGATTCTCACTGTAGCCATGGGCATTGAGGAAAATGTCAAACTCCATGAGAAATCACCTTTTGGACACATGTAAGGCCAAGCTGCTCCTTGCATGAAGGAAGAAGACCCTGGATTTCCTTCTCCCTTGCAAAATCAAACACCTGCTGCCACGAGGAGCAGGAGGGGCTTGGCTGGCTCTAGCAGGAACCTTATTCCATGGCCTCATGGAGCTTCCCAGTTCCCAGATGGCCTCAGCAAACAGAGTGGTAATCCTGTGGGTTGTTTTACACAGCAGATTGCTGATGGTGAACTTTCATTGCCAGTACAGTCCACACCAAATTAGCCCAGGACTTTGACCCACTGCATTACAGACGTGTACAGGAGTGAAGATAGGGAGATACCTCTGCACCTGCCTCAACCTGCCAGGGCTGCCATCTGAGAAGCAGCACTGCTCGTTTGTTTGTTTTTTTCCTTCACAACAGCCCTTCCACCTCTGGATGTCCATCTCCAGCTTCAAGGGATCCTGCCTTTCCTCTCCTCGCCAGGGATTTCTGCTCTCCTCGTGCAGTGCAGGGGAGAGAGGAGGGGGCAGTGGGGGTGGAAGAACCTCTGGCAGCACATACAGCAGTTGAGCAGCTGTCACTGGCATTTCGGAGCCTGACAGCTTTTAGGCCAGATGCCAAACATGTCTTAGGTTTTAATCTCCCTGTCGGGTCACCTATTGCTTGTCAATCAAGTGCTGCTCCCGCAGGGGCCGTTGGCACAGATGCCACCAGACAGGATGCAGCAGACACTCCTGCCCGCCATCCGGAAGATTAGCACCAGACAGAGCCCCCCCACCCCCCCCCCCCAGCTCGCCCCCCTT